GACCAAAGGGTTCTGCTGACACCTTTGTGAGAGGTCCAGCACTGACTTTCCTGCATCTGTTGATGACTGAACCTGCAACATGCACTGATTGCAAAGCCCGGCATTTTGAGAGATGCTTGGGAGATGTACATCTAGAAGGTACACAATAGGAAAAACATTTGTAAATTTAACATCCCACGTTTCCTGAGGGATAAATACTTGCAATTCATTTGCACTAGCATTTGACTCATATGAGATCTTAAGTAATTCTTAGTCTTTCCAAAAGCTCCAACTTGGATGTTTTCACCATGACACAGGAACCAGTCTTGAGTGCTGCACTTTTGCCCTTTAAGGCTGCACTTGTCTGGTATGATGTTTGTGGCTTTTTAGTGCTGCTGGCTATTGTTCTTTGAGAAATTTCTGGGTTATGATGGGTTGACACTGTACCAGCCTGTGTGAGATCATGTGGTTACACGACAAGATTGGGAAGTTGTGTAATACATGGGAGCTATTGAGAGGTCAGTTGTCTGGAGCTGGGCATGTTTTGGTGATGCTGCTGAAGTCAAGGGAAATCCTCCTGCCAAGACTGGTGAAGGTGGGTGAAAGCATGCACAAAGGACTCTGCCTGCCCTGCCAGGGACGGGGAACTCATCTGACAAGCATTTATTCCCCCTGCCTCACTCCCTGTTATGTCTGGATTTTGTGAAGTGATTTTATAGTGAAATAAAAGAGGTGCTATTTTTGGCCATGCTGGGTGAATGTGGGCTACAGGCCAGCCAGTGCTTGAGGTGATGGCTGAGCCAGGCTGGCCCATGGAGGAGGATCCTTCCTGCTTTCTGCCCCTCACAGGCACTCATGGTGCAAGACAGAGGTTGCCATAGGCCCTTGACAGCCCCAGCAAGGCTTCAAGTCTTGTGGGGGCCATAAAAGGAGGCAGAACCTCATCTGCCAGTGCCCATAGGGCTGGAAAAGCTGCTGAGCCTCTTAGTTATATGCTTGCCCACATCGTGGTGGGAAGCACTCCTGCCTGTTTCTGCTGCTCTGTTTGTGAGTCATGGGGTGCAGTGATGTTGCTTCTTTCCCTTGTTCAGTAGGGTTTAGCTGCTGTGTGCTGGACAGCTGCAGGGCCATGTCCCTGTCCCCTGCAGTGGGTGGGGATGTCTGGGGATGCCACTGGTCCCCATGTGCTTACAGGGCCAGCTGCTGCCTGCACTTGGACACTCTTGGCACATTGGCAGTAACCCCTCAGCCTCTCCTCTGACAACAATCTCACACCTCCTGTGCCAAGGCCGTGTTTACTGCTTGCTGTTTGCTAATTTTCTATTTCAGGCAGCCATGGACAAGCAGAGTCATGTTGGGTGTGAACAGACTCTGCTCATTTGGTCAGTACACTCTGAGGGAATAATTGGGGTCAACTCACCTCACTGTGTTAACTTCACTATATCTGTATTGATACATTGATGCACTATCAACTTTAGAAGGGGAATACAATCTCATTTATCTTCTCCAGACTCAGTAGCATGTTATACTTCAGCACGTGTTCAAACAGGAAAGTGTAGGAAGTATACACCGTGCTTTGAAACAAAAGATTTGGTCAAACCAAGACAAAATATTTGTGATTTTTTTTTCACATCCTAGGCTGGAGCATTCTAGTTGAATAAAAGGATTGTTTTTTTTTGTTGTAGCTGAGTTTTTCCTGTATAAAGAGATTTTAGCTTCTTGAAAGAGGGTTCTACAACCATGACTATGGAATGGTTTGGGTTGGAAGGGATCTTCAAGAATCATCTAGTTCCAACCCTCTGGCCAGGGGCAGGGACATCTGCCAGCCACTCAACTAAGGTTGCACAAAGCCCTATCCACCTATCCAGCCTGGCCTTGAATACTTTTGGGGATGGGAAATAGCCACAGCTTCTCTGTGCAACCTGCTCCAGTGTCTCACCACTCTCACAGTAAAAATTGTCCTCCTTCTGTCCAGTCTAAACCAAGCACCTTTCAGTTTAAACCTGCTGTCCCTTACCCTGTCACTACAGGTCTTGTTGAGTCTCCTTTAGGTACTTTGAGGCTGCTATAAGATCTCCCCAGAGTCCTCTTTTTCAGGTGAACAACTCCAACTGTCCACCTGTCTTCACAGAAGAGGCAGTTTGACAAGTCAGTCTCCTTCCATGCAGGGCTGTGGATTAGCTCACCAGGTGAAATCCTGTGTCTGCTGTGAGTGTTCCACGTGTTTGTGTGCAGAGCTCCCTCCCCTTCGCAGAGAAGATGTGATTGCACAGGCTTTGGAGAAACACAGCTGTGGGTACACAGACCTGAAGCACATGACGAGCACAAAGTGCAGGAGCTCAAGCCTGCTTAGCACCCTGTGGTTGGTTTTTCCCTGCACTATGCTGATGTGTTCCACTTAATGCTGTGCTGGGAGCACTCTGAACAAACTTGTCAAGATCAGCTTACTGAGTCAGAGAAAATGAAGAGGCGAAGCAACTGTTGGTGGAAGAACTTTGTGCTAAAGTTTTATGTGCAAAAGCAATGGGCTTTATAGGAAGATTAAGCAATATATTAGCCATGAAAATCCAAATAGTTTGCTGCTGTTGTTGACATAATCAGTTTTTGCAGATTTGATTAACCTTCATTTGAGTTCTCTTAAAACACTGAATGTGCTGCATTGCCAGAGTTGCATGCTGTACAATCCACAAGTGATAGTTGCATGATCATCCCACAAGCACTGCTGTGTAGCAGTATGTGGAAGGGGCAAGTTGTCTGTTCTTGGGTATTTGTTACTGCCACGTTTAAGAGAATTGGCAAATATAGAATAGATTTAGTTCATGTTGACCACAATGCTTTCAGTACTAAGAATTTCATTTAGCTGAAATAAGTAAATGTGGTAAGTTTGTTCAGGGGCTGCCTTTCAGAGCTAACACAGGGTCAGAGAGCTCATTTAAAACTCAGGTAATTTCTCTGTTTATGGCTATATCTAATTCTATGAGCAACTAATCTAAGTCAGACAGTGTGCTAGGCAAGTACCTGAAAGCAGCCTGCTAGAGAGATGGCATTTTTACAAGGGCATGTGCCAGGACAAGAGGGAATGGTTTCAAGTTGAGAATAGATTTAGATTAGATATTAAGAAAAAATTCTTTACTGTGAAGGTGGTGATGCACTGGAACATGTTGCCCAGAGAAGTTGTGGGTGTCCCATCCTTCAAAGTGTTTAAAGCCAGGTTGGATGTCACTCTGGTCTAGTGCAACCTGGTCTAGTGAAAGGCATCCCTGTCCATGGCAGAGGGCTTGAAACAGAATTATTTTTATGGTCCCTTCCAATTCAACCCATTCTATAATTCTAAACCTTTAACCTAATTTATATATATTTTTTGTGGACGTAACACTTGTCAAGTCTGGTAAATGTTGGTTTCCTGAACATTATTGAGCTCGAATAATGGTTGTTTTAATCTGCAACACAGTTTATTTGCTTTAATCATTCTAACAACAGATTAAATACTATTTTACTTGTTCAGCTTAAATAAGTGATTTTAGAGACAGCTTCCCTCTTACATCTTTTGAAGTGACATGAAATAAACATATGTTCTAGTTGAAGAGTTTGAGTTTCAGTGGGAGGAGTTTGCTGGGAATGCTTTTCTAATTCCTTAGTGCAAACAAAGTATTTCAACAGAGTAGTCCATATGCATTGTATGGAAAAACACAGGTTACAAAATAGAAACCACCAACAAATAGAGATGTAGAAAAAAACAGGTTTTATTTATGATACAGTGAGGTTGGAATGTAATAATAGCCAAGAAGCACCTGAAGCAGGAGTGAGGTGACTTACTGAAAAATCAACTGTCGTTGCTATAAATGTTAATCAGATTATGTAAACATGAAATTTGTAGCTGATCCTTTTTTTCCCCTCCTCTCACAGTGTTGACAAACAACTTTGGGCTAAATTGCTTCTTTCTACAGAAGGAAAGAACTACCCATTCTGGCAATTATCAACCCTTTTCTAAAGGAAAAGATGGTGCCAAATAAATGCCTTACTTCCCTCCTCTTTGCTTTTGCAAGGATGACTGTGTGCAGGTTGGGATGGTGGCCATCCCATTGCCACTTGTCCCCAGCTGCCAGGACAGGACACATTCAGAGAGCCAGCTGGCAGGGCTGCAGGTTCTATGTTTGAGGGTGATGTGGCATTGAGCCCTCCTGCAAACCCTACCCTGTGTGCTGCTCCAACATGATGTGGCTAAAGCCTGTTTGTTATGAGTGGCTTAATTTCAGAGGGGAAAAGTTGCAATGAAAAACTAATTGCTGCTCTGTGTGGGTGGTGTGACACAGATGAAATCTCCACAGCATGGTGGAGCGAGGGATACTTTGGCTTGGGATATGCCTAGGAAAAACATCATCAAGCTTATAAAATAAAATGCTAATCTTCATCATGTAGACTTATAACCAAATTGCAAAAGTTACATTTTGTGGTTACTGTTTTGGGGAGCCTATGGACTTCGTTATTGGCAATGGTTAAGTGCTAAAGAAGGGTGAGGCTTGCAAAATAAAGAAAAAAAAAAAAAAAAAAAAAAAGGACTGTATTGGCTGTGTTTGAAATGGCCAAGCACAAAATACTAAAATGTGAGTGAGGTTTCAGTGCTGGACATCAGCATTTTGGACCACAGTATATTTTCAGTATTTTGCAACACTTTAGGACTTAGCTCATCCTGTATTAATTTATGGAACTGCAGCTGTTAGTGTTTACTGTTGTGACAAATACAGTAAATAGAAAGATACATATATTCTCTTCAGGTAAATGTGGTGGGTATCTGACCAAGGAAGCCTTTTATTACTGAAGTTTTTTTGGTGTTTCAAAGCTGTGAGTATTTCTATCATTTGGCAAATGATGTAATATTAGACTAGCAAAAAATGTGTATATATACTGCATAGTGGGAGAACACAGTACTAGATTTGTTAGACTTAATTTGTGTTATACTTAACTTGCTTTTACAGACGTTTAAAAATTAATTTCCATTCAGCTTTTGAGGTAATAAGTTAAAAAAAGCACCAACATGATTTATTCAATTGTCTAACCACCACAGAAGCTCCTCTGTGTAAGAAATACATGATAAGGTGGTTCCTTATGCTGTGAGAGACTTCTATAAGTTTTTCATGCAGACTTGACATCTGCTGATATGGCTTCGGATGAGTCCTGCCTTGAGTGTGTCTCCCGAGGGCTTGCTCTGGAAGGGCTGGTCGATGGTGGTGAGCCAGAAGCTGTATTTGTTTGCAAAGTAGTGACAGGTTCCACGTGCACCATTGCATTCGATGAAAGGAGTGGCCCTGAAATCTTCCAGGCAGCTCCCAGGAGAAACCAGCGACTGTCCTCCACCTTCATCACCAGCAGCAGTGTGCTAAGGGAGACAAGGAGGGCAGAGTTCAGAGTGCAGCCTCAGGCAATGCTGTCATACACGTGTGAAAAGAGAAAAGCCACTAGAATTGCTACTAATTCTTATCTCCAGAGCAGAAAGTTGGCCAGTCCTGCAGCTGTGTAAGGGTTTGGCTATGCTATAACTATATAAAGCAGCTAGCCCTTATGCTGATGCCTCTTTGAAATCTTCTAACAAATATCTTTTCTATAGTTAAGATTTTCACTGTTGGAAGTCTTAGAATTGGAGAATCATGTAGGTGGAAATGGCCCACTGGAGGTCACTTCCCCCAGTTCCCTGCTCAAAGCAGGGCCAACACCAAAGTTGCCCTCAGTTGCTCAAAGGCACTGTGGAGTTGTTGATGCCTCCAAGGATGGACTTCCCATAACTTGTCTGGGCATCTTGCTCCTCTGTTTTATTACCCTCACTAAGAGCAACTTTCCAGCATATATTTAATTTGAATTTCCCAAATTATAAAGTCTGTCTTACTCTGAATTGCATGTGAGGAGCATTGTGGAAACAATTAGCTTCTATGCAATAACTAGTTCCCTGTATGACATGTTTTTTTGACAGTGAATTACACCAGAATCATGCATCTTTACATCTCTCAACTGTTGCCTTTGATAGGTTCTGTGATAATGAACTGAATGTTACTTTTCTTCTGTCAAAGTCATTGCTAACAAAATGGCCATTTTCTCTGTCCCTTTAAGAGCTGTACAGCTGTATTTTTAAGTTATACTGTAGAATTTTTGTTAGGAGCTGAAAGAATCTGCAATATAAAAGAAAGCAGCTGGAAAAATAAAGTTTTTAAACAGTTTTGTAAATGTAGGGAATATAAGAGGCAGCATAAATTATTACAACTTTGAGGCCTCTGCAGTTGGAGCTGGAAAGCAGATAATAAAAACTGCTGATGCTATTTGAGCCCTGGCATGGGAGCAGCCCTGCTTGGCAACCTCAGGATGAGCACTGGTATTCCATGCTTGGTCTGTAAGCTCCAATTCTATGCCTATAACATCTCTTCTGGTATTGACCATGGCTTTTTATCCTCCTGCAGTGTTTACTCATATAGGATGTATGATAGTGGAGTGCCCTCACTACATGAAATCTTAGTGACTTCTCTGGCTGTTTGGGCAGGGTCTGTGCTGACTGAGGACTGTGCCTTACTCAGGGGAAGGAGGTGACAAATTTCAGCCGAGCAATTAAAACGGCATGTACTCTGAGAAAACCACAAGTGTGCTCGACTTCTTCCACAGCTGCCTGAGAAGCAAAAATGCATACATCAAACAATTCATTTGCTCCACAAGCTAGCTGGGAAAATGGGAATTCTTCTCACAGCATGTACCACAGCGCTGACAGACTGTCCTGGCAAAAAGTTCTTGCTAAGGTGACAACTTTACTCTTAACAATGCTCAGTGTTTACATGGGGCTTTGCAAATATTTAACTAATTCTTGGCATTCTTGTGAAGTAACTATGAGATTGGTATCAGAGCTTTTTATAGAAGCAAAAGAAAGGTCAAACATAGGGATGGTAAAAATTTTGACCCATTCTCTCAAAATGTGGGGATTTTTTTCCTGTACCTAATTTCAGATTTGCCTGTATCTTATTTTCTGAAAAATTTAAGTTTTTGGCATTTGATAGACAAATGGTTTGTGGGTAAGATTGACTATCGTTCTTTTATGAAGAACTCTTGTTTCTTTTCCAACACTGTTTACTTCAGGATTCAGCCCAGCCTTCAACAAGTTAACAACATGGGCATGCTGCTGTAGGTTTTGACTCTCATGTTCTTCAAGCAAGTCAGAAAAATAAGCATCTGTCAGACCATGCACTGACATTTTAGCTGCTCTTTACCACACTAAGCCCTCTGATACTCATATGATCCCTCTGTACAGTCTTGCAAAAAAAGGTCAGGCCCTTGAGTAGTCTTCTGCTGCACTCAGCACTAAGTTTTTCTGTAACATCCCACTTCCTAATTATGAGATCACAAGATTGAAGAGCTCCTGTAAACCATGGGATGTATAGCTCAGCTCTTATTGCCATCAGAAATACAACACTGAAACTTATTTTTTAAAACAAGCAGAGGCCATCTCTCTTTCCAGACTAAGTGAAAGACTTTGGCTTCAAAATCTTCAACCAAAACACCAATGATTTTTATATTGCAAAAAGAAGAGGAAAAGCATGTTGTTGCTTTTCCTTTTTACTCCCCTAGATCAGCTTCTTAGTAGTGATACATGTAAATAACTCCAAATCTTTAGCTGTGAAATGCTATGTATGCTCCTGTTGCACCTCAGTGTAATTTTACTTGTTAAGTCACATTTGTTAAACTGTCCTTCTGTTCTGAAGTGCTATTTTGTACATAAAGTAAGGTCTCCAGATGCTACTCTGACGAGACAATTTTCTCTGAAATTCACAGAAATTTTCATCTTCCTCTTCTGCTTCCTAGAAATTACTTTTGTAGTTCCCTAGTTCCCCAGTATGATGCATGGTTTTGATCTTGCTGGCTCTGAAGCGGAGCAGCCTTACTAATACCAAACACTCAAATTTAAAACCCACTGCTGCACAAAATGTGACACTGGAGACCAAATACCATAAGGAAGGAATATCCAATCCACAGACTGCGCCAGCCTTCAGGGCAGTGAGGAATAGAAGCTTCTTGGCTGTGGACAGCAATTGCCACAGCTGGGGCCTCACAAACGGAGCAGCGACTGATATATGGCTTAATGTCTTCTTCTGCCACGGGCATCATTGGAAGAGGTGCTGTAGTTGAGAGCCAGTAGGATTTATCATTTCGACTTGCATAGTAACAAATATCCCCAGGGTTACAGTAGAGGAATGGCATGGTGCTAAAACGAGACAGACATGAGCCAGCCAGCCCTGTTAAAAAAGAAGAAGAATAAAGCCATCATTCTCACAGAATACAATGCACACTTTCAGTCTCCTGTTCTTTCCCAAGTACCTGTCAGGAAAGCTCTGTGGTCCAGAATATTTTGCTGGCTCTACAGGTTCCCTCAAACAACACCAGTGACTTTCAGGAGCTCTCTCAGGGGCACTCCATGAAGACACGTAGTTTTTATATTCTCATTTTGGTGCTTCCTAAGTCTGTTTGCTGTAGTCTCAGCTATTGGAATAGAGCCTGCTGCCAGCATGATTTGTACATACCTAGATCCTGGTTGTGTGCTTTCTCTTGTCCTTCAAAATACAGTAGGCTGTATCCACTCCAGAGTTTGTTCATGCCAACTGGGCACATTGGCTCTTGGTCGGACTGGCTGTGCTTCACCAGCAGGTAGCCCATGCTCACACTGCGACCCGGCATGCCTGGTGGCCCAGGGCTACCAGGGCGGCCTGGCTGACCTTAGAAGAGGGCAGAAAAGAAAGAATCCAACTTGAGTTTGTGCTCCCACAAATGATGCTAGGTGATAATCCAGCTAAGCTGGTGATGAACAGCTTATTGACATGATGCCTTTTCATTATGGTAAATTATTTTTAGAAGAGCTGCAGTTCTAGGATTACAACAGTTGCTTTTGACATAGATTGGTGCTGGATCAGGCTCCTCAGTTTCTAAGATAATGTATTTTACACTAGAACTAGGGAAAGTTACAAATAAAGTTCTGATGAATTTGAACATACTTTGTACAACACAGATGAACAGATTTTTCCTTTAAAATATTTTCTTAGTCCAAGATTAACCAATGGTTGTTGAACTTCTTGCATTTGATTCATACACTTGAAACTATGCTCTGCAAATACCTTTTTCTCTGTGTGCTTAGCTAACTAAGATAATAATAGTTCTGCTCTTTGATTTGATAAGGACATTTGATAAGGTATTTCTTTTACAAATACACTCCCTTTAACTTCATCTATCCAAGTATCACCGACCCAGCCATTCATCTCCATGAATGTAACTGTTAGTTAAACACAAGGCTGAAAAATACTTAAAGAGAATAAATATACTCAGAGCAAAACAAGCTCATGAGTGGACTGACAGCTATCAAAATTTATTCTGAATATATTGCTCTAAGGCAACTGTTAATATTTAATTACTTGTCCCTTGTGAAGCATCTATGAAGATAGAAATTCTCCTCCCCTCACCTCCCTTCCCCTCCCCTACTTCACCTTCCTCTTGCTCCCTGCCCTCTCCTCTCATTTCCTCCCACTGAAGTAGTAACTACAGAGCAATTAAGTGCAGAGAAAAGGGAAGGAGGAAAAAAGTGCTGTGTGATATCTCTTACCTTCAAATCCCACCGGACCCTGAAATCCCATTCCTCCTTGTTCCCCTCTGGAGCCAGGAGGAGCTGGAATGCCACCCCTGCCCTGGAGTCCTGGCTCTCCAGGTGAGCCCCTGAAACCTTACACAGCAATGGTTGTAAGCACAGTGACTGAAGACATAACAACAAGCCCATCCCACTTTGTTAACATGTCTTCTACTTGTGTATGTTTGGTGCTGCCTGCTGGGTTTACTGATCTGCACTGAAGGCAAGATCCTATGGTACTTGCTCAGGCAAAAAGCACCAAGTTCATTGGAAAAGGTTGCCAGGATCAAGACTATGAGTCCCACAACCCTAATCCTTCACTCTTGACACTACTTATCTCTGATGAGGGTCATGGCAAAAGGTGCAGTGCATCAGCTCTACATATCATTAATGCTACATTATTCCCCAAGCTGACAGCATTCCCCCAAGAATGTACACTTTTCCACCAAAGACATTCAGTCTTGATTTGTGTGAGATCCATATCTGATGTTGCTTTGACTATGTGAGTGTTACCGTGTAGATTTGGCTCTGTGAGTGTTGCCAAAGTTATTTCCTGTTTTGCCTATGTTCTGAATGCTAGGAGAAGGAAGAAAGCTGAAGCCTCAGATTTGGAAGACTAAAAATTGAACTCTCTTTTCTGGATTACAGACTTTTAAGTAGAAGAGCATCAAGTCAGTGCTCTGGTGGCCTCACTCTGCTAAAGGGAGCACCTTTCAGTCTGAATGTGTGATTCCTACCTGGATCTCCTGGTGGGCCCTGAGGTCCCAAATCTCCTGGGCTTCCCTGAGGTCCTATACTTCCACGGGGACCTGGTGAACCTTGCTCAGCAACCAGCCTTGGAGGAAGAGGGGGCAGCCCAGGAGAGCCTGGAGGTCCCTGGAAGCCTGTCATTGGAAGCAAGATGAGATAGTTTAATTAAAAAAACCCAACCACTTTATATTTTTCCATAAGGTACTTTCATCCAGAGATATGTTGCCCTGACTTGGCTGCATATGTATGAGAGGTGTATGGTATGCAACTCACCAGCTTGGGTATAGCAGCTATATTATATTGGGGAAATATGTGTGGGTTTGATTAGACAATCTCCAAGTATGGGATCATCTCCAAGAGATTGGCTTCACTTGGACTGTACATAGGTAAGCAGGAGGGAATTAATGATGCTACTGCTCTCTCATTTATGACACAGGGAGCTGGGAAGTTCCCTCCAAATAGCTGCAGCTCTCTGAGGTGCAGCACCATCTTTTGGTGGGCTTCAAGAGACACAAATACATGATGGTATAGATGGAGTGATGGATTTTAAAGCTCTCTTTAAATATTTGGTATGTTTAATCTGGAGGATTAATTTGAACAAGAAATCCTTCCTTTTATTAACCCCCAAAAGTGGCTCTGATTTTGGAGTTGGCACCTCATAGAAGCCAAATTCATAAAGGCAAAAATTGACTATTCATGTTAATTTCAGGCATCTGCCCTCTGGAATTTTCCTTGATTAAGAGTCATGCAGGATGGAGGGTTCTGGAGGTCACCAAGCCCAACCTCCTGCTCAAAGCAGGGCCTGTTAGATCAGGTCAGTGGAGCTGCAGAATGAGTGGTTTCAAAAGGAGCCACCCATCTAACTGTATGCACTTACCAGTCATTCCTCTGTCTCCCTTGGGTCCAATAGGTCCCAGATCACCTGGAAATCCTACTGTACCCATGAAGCCAATGACACCTTGTTCACCCCTAGGACCTTTAATGCAAAATGACAAGTAACATTATTGCATTTCAGTACAAATCAAGTGAGTGCAAAAGACATAGTGTTAAAGCTGCTGTAGCATAGAAAGCTCCCCTGCTTCCTGCCACGATCAGCATTTCCCTTCCTTACCTTTTGGTCCAGGGAATCCAGGCAGGCCAGGTCTTCCTGCTGATCCAGGATCACCTCTACTTCCTTTTGGGCCAATTTCTCCAGTCCTACCTGTTTGTCCACTTTCTCCTTTGCTTCCAGGTGGAGCAGGTATTCCAGGCTGCCCTTGTGGTCCTGGATAGCCTGTTTAGAGGACATAGAGATTATAATCTGTTTATACTTAACACCTGGGCACAGAGGAAAGTAACAGAACTATCTCACTGTATCCCATCAGGTTCTATTTCCTTAATTTAAGCAGGGGACAGACTTATTCAGCAGTGCTGCTCCTGCTCTCAGGCTGGCAGCAGTGGCAGAGGAATTAGAGTATGAAGCTCCCAAAATCCAGTGTTCTCTCCAGCAAGATTTCAGCAGAAATAGGGTGCCTGCTGAGATACAGCCTTTAATGAACTATTCTTTAACGAGCAAATGCCCCACTTCACTAGCTGCCTCCTTGCTTCATCCTAAATTATCCAAGTAGCTAGAGAGAAATCAGAGAGCAGCAAGTATCTGACTCAGAGCCAAGGACTTACTGTTCTGTGTATCTTAGTGCTTCAGTTGAACATCTGGAACCAAATAAGTACCTCATGCTGTCTTGGGAATTATGGGAACAGCTTCTTTTTCTAGAATTCCATATTGCCTGAAGCTAAACCTGGCAGGTTTCTCTTCAGTTACCTCTGCTGCTTACAAGATATTTGGACCTTTTTTTTTTCTGAGGAGTGACTTAGTAAAAAGGGTTTTGAGTGAGGCATCTCTTGTGCTGCCTTTTGAAGCTGGATCACATGAGGATATGATTGTAAGATGTATGTGGCAAAGTAAGAGTGAGCCACACTTGTCTCACCATTTTGGCTAGGATATGGTGTTCCTGTTTCCACTCTCCTGACTGCTTGGAGAATTGGAATCAGTATGCAGAGTCAGGCCAACTAACAGTAATTTTCAACTTGGAAGCCTAGGTATTTTGTTGGTTTTCAGCTGGTTTGTCTGTTCTAAGTTTTTGCTGAGTTTACATAAAAATTTCCATCCATCATATAAAGATGTTAGTGGAACAACTTCTGCTACAAGCTCTTCACAGTGGCACCACAGTTTGAAATGATTGTGCAGTCCAATAAGCAACAGGAATTTTTAAGAAGGGAGAGCTAATACTTTCCAGTGTAATTAAGCTTGCATGGTCATTTCACTTAGGAGAATTTTGTAAATGACTAAGACAGTATTTAATAGACTTGCAAGTCTTCCACAGACCTCAGATTTTGGAGCAGTAGATTAGCATAATGCTTCTGAAAGTTGTCAAGAGAATTCTGCATTATTTAATCTGTTATTTGCATGAAGATCAAACCCTTCCAATTAGGACAACCTGGAGGAATTGCCTTTTGCTTTCAAGAAGTGTTTATCTATTATCTGATGTACCATGAGTTCTGTCCAACAATTTTAGCATTGTGTTTAATAGGGCTACTTTACTGAAACAGGACAGAAAGAACAATGACTTCTGTTGCATGAATTACCTGGCACTCCATCTAGACCTCGGGAGCCTTTATCACCAGGATATCCTGATATATTTGAAATCCCAGGAGGCCCTGGAAATCCTTCCTGCCCAGGAATACCAAAGGGTCCTGGGACACCTGTAAGGAAGAGAAGAAATAATTAATACTGCAAGGAAAATGCACAATTGCAACTAAAAGGACTCAGACTAAGGAGTGGGATTTTCAAAATAGAAAACACCTGCAGTTCCCACTGATTTTGGGTTTTTTTTTTCAGCTGATACTGTGGAAGTTTTTTTTTTTTTTAAGAATAAAATACTAGTTCTCTGCCAAAGCTCTCTGGGTAGCTAATTACATCCCACTGTGTGGAATACAAATAATCTTGTGTATGCCAGGTAAAACATCATTTCAAGATAGGAAGTACTCAAAATACCCTAGGTATACTGAAGGAAGCAGGAAAGCAGCTTTGTTCTTCTGTGCCTGCAGGGTGAAGGCTGATGCTTAGCATTATTCGAAAATTCAAATCCAAAAAGTTCTCTAGAGATGAAAAATTGTTAAGTGGTCAGAAATCTGCCCTACCAATAAAAGATTATTCTTTTAAGTATATTGAAGTTGTGAGGAAGTTGACCTTTTGTTTGTAATTGTGACAAATAAACGTGAATGAGGTGAGCTGTTTTTTGAATGCTTTATAATAAATCCCTGAATGGTGCTTGAGATGGCACAGCAATAAAGTATAACACAAAAGAACATGAATGAGCCATTGAACCAAGCAGGCAAAGGCAGTAAGGTTTTACATTTCTGTCAGTCCTTAATCCTTTCAGAGCCAAAACACTGGAAAAACTTAAAAAACTAACTCACAAAAAATGTAATTAGTTTATTTGTTCATAACATCAGTCTGGTGGCTTCTTGGTGGAGCAAAACCAGGTGGTGACCCATTCTGAGATGAGCACAGCCTGTTACAGCACAGAGGGTTGGAGCTTACTCTGCACAAGGGATAGATGGCACCAGAAAGCCATCTGTGTATGGGAACAGAGCCCTCGAGGTGCCAGCAGGACTATCACACATTGAGAGACACTGAGACTTTCAGGAGAAAGGTTTGCAACAAAAAGAGAGAGGGGTAACGTGTTTGTGTAACCGGAATTGCATTAAAAATATTTGGGGAGCTGATGGCTGAGAGCAGCCTCTGGCATTTGCAGCTTGCTGAGCCCAGTGGGTGCTACAAGATGGGGAAGGATCCAGGCTGTCCAGCACTGGGGAATACACACTGCTCTTTCTGAGCAAGGTGAGCAAGTTTCTGGCTGAGCTGCAGCACAAACTCCAAACAGGGACCTTCCCAACTTCAGGAGCTCAGTGATTCAACTGTCTACACCATAGTGTGTTTTGTGACACCTCTAACACCCACAGATGAAACAAATAACAGGCGGATCCCATTCTCTGGAACACAGACCTGGAACACCTCTGTCTCCCTTCTGGCCCGGAGGTCCTCGGCTGCCTTCCACTCTGCTTGGCTCTCCTGCTTCTCCTTTGTCACCCACTGCACCTGGGAAGCCGGCAGAGCCGTACCCATCCGGACCTGTTGAGGTGTTCAGAATAAAGAGGAAAGCTGAAATGTTTCTGCATATAACAATGCATGCTAAAGTACAGGTATGGAGCATGTGCATTTACAAAATACATGAGTCTGTAATCACTCATTGAAAAAAAGGCTCATGATGAGAAACAAGGCCTTGAGGTTTTAACTTTATCAGAGAAAAGAAGATACGATTTGAAGCTGTGTTCTAATCCACCTGTGGGGTAGCACACAGTGCATGAAGTTGTTTGCCAGAGCCCACAATAATGAAGCACATTCCAAAGCTTTGGAAGACACAGTTAAAAAAGTTGCATTACCAAGATCTCACAGACCAAACTTGAAGCCAGCACAATGTTGTACCTGTGAACAGGCAGAGTAACAGCCTCACTTACCTGGTGATCCTGGTAAGCCCTTAGTGCCTGGTAAGCCATGCAGTCCACTGATTCCTCTTAAGCCAGGCTGGCCTGTTTTAAAATGACATTCATGATTATCATAATACTTTCTATTAGTCTGTTTATATTCCTGGGCAAAAAAAAAAAAAAAATCAAATGCTTGAATTTTAAATGCTATTCTATGTTAAAATATGTATTATATGCAAATGAATTAATTACCATAAGTTTATTATGAAATACACCACACTATGGTTTTGTGATTGGAAAATTTTGTTATTATCCAATAAGCTCATTACTCCAGAAATAGTTTTAAAAATATCTCTGATCCATCTGGTAGCATGCCATTAGTTCCAGTCTTGCTGCCATACTTTTTTTAATACCCATTTAGTTTCCCAAAATCCTCGAGCCAAGACAATTATGACATAATTGTAGACTCTAAATGTGGTTATAATAAAGCTATCTTTGGGAGGAATTCACTCCGTGTCATTTAAAAAACAGCAACAAAACCCTAAAAAAAATGTCTAATAGCTACTGTTACTATTGTTACAGATAAAATTTATTCCATCTATTTGTACCTGTCCAAGTGGTATGTTGTTAAAGCTAGACAATGGCTAGAGTTCTGAAGGACTATTCAGTCTTAGAAAAATAAGAGTCTGTCTGTCTCTCTTCACTGTCTAAAAAGACAGTCTTCATAACTGTATTAGCTTAGCTTTGAGGCAGATTCAGATAGAAGAATCTTACTAAAAGCAGGATGATTTCTGGCTGAAAGGTAGAAAAAAATTCTGCTAACTTAATATATTAAGGAATTACGTGGCAACCATTGAGATTCTGTATCCTGTGACACACACAGCTTCATTTTAAACTATCACCTGCATTTTGATAGCACAGTTCTGTCTAAGCCATAAGTCATTTATTCTTGAAAACAAATATTGAATCAGTTAACAGTTTTTGGTGATGATGCAGGACAAATACACTGCTTGCTATCTAATGCCACATTATAATATTCTTATATTGCACATTACTACCCTTGTTGCATGTTTAGTAATTTTTTATTGTTTTTTTCTTCTTAGCTGTCATGAAAAATGAAAATGTTTCTTGAAAACCGCTTTTCTAGTTGAAGAGATCATCAACTGTCAAAATGAGCTGAAAAGACTCCAGAAGCCATTAATCAGCAGCCACGTGTGTCTTTGTTAATGCATCTAGACTTTGTGAGGAACAAATATTTTACTACAGGAAACTCTGACACTGTAAACTGCAAAAGCCCCCTTTCTTCTTCTTCACCCCAAAAATACATTTGCAAGTGCTCACACTGAAATGATTGAATAGTTGAAGCTGTATGAATACCTGCTTGTCCTGGTAAGCCAGGCCAGCCGGGAGTTCCCTTTTCCCCTGGAAATCCAGGTGTCCCAGGGCTTCCTTGCTGCCCTGGGGGGCCAACCAGTCCTGGCAAACCTGTGTGACAACAATGAATCATTGCTTATGAGCATCCTTAAAACCAACAGCCCAAACACAGACTTGTGCTACTTTCATTCTCCCAGGCAGCAAAATGAAGACTTTCCCTTCCTAATGTCATTGTATGACTGATCATCCAAGTGGAAGAAAACTAAAGAGAGCACAGGTAGAAGAGACAAAGTATAAATGAACAACTCATTACAAACTTCAGGTTTGTGACAATCTCAGAAAGACAGTGGGCTCCTATTAAAATGATAACTTGACTTCTATTGCCAGCTACAGTAAGTGATTTTATTGCTGTGCATGTCACTTTCCCTTTCTGCTGCACCTGTTTTGCCTTTCCCACTGAGAAGCTCATCAGACAAGAGCTGTTTCCCAGTGAGGCACCTATTGAAACTCTTCCAGTCTTGGCTGGAGTTTCTAAGCTCTCTAATGAGAGAAGTGTGGAGCTACTGTGCTGAAAGAGCATTTCCATTATCCCCCTGCAATAAGACATGTTCTTAAGTCCCGAGTGTGTGATCCAGCCACAGCTGAAGCTGATTTGGCTTCTCTTGTACAGCTGGCCCATGAGCCTGGCTCAAAGGCTCTGTAACTGTGTCCTGGGGGATACTGACTTCATTAACGGCAGAAAAGGTCATTGAAAAGCCCACTCCTTGTAGTATGGAGACATTAGAATACCTGAGTATGCCAGCAATACAACACTTTGACTGGACACATGGTTGCTATAGAAAAGGAAAAACTGGTATGAAATAGAGTGCAGTTTTTGCAATTTCCTCTTAACTTCTGCTATGAGTTCCACGCCCTTGTCACTGCTCCTCACCAATTTACAGAATGATGAACATATTAAAAAACTTAATTACTTTATTTTAATGGAGACACTATTTTTCTTTTTCCTCTTAAACAATGTTATTCTTTGGAGTGTTAAAAAGAGTATTTTACCTTCCTGTCCCACCGAGCCAGGGACACCCTGTATGCCCTTGAGGCCTTCAATGCCTGGGAAACCAGGATCACCACCTTCTCCTTTTGGTCCCACACCTCCTCTTATGCCTGGAAAACCACAAAACCAGTATATTCTTTTAATAATATCTATACAACCCTAAGCAAATAAGAATAACATGAACTTGGATACTGAATGATCCTGGTCTTGCACATAAAGACATACCTCTAGTCAGGGTGCTTATATAATCTGGGAGCATGAACAGTTTTTTGGCCAAATGATCATTAAGCTTATTTTTAAAAGTACTCCCCAAATTATGTGGAATATGTCACTGATGTTCAAGTGCACTGCATGTACAGGGAAATTTAATACATTACCTAATAACTCAATCCAAAAGTGACAAGATTTTGCTATCCCACCTTCTATAATCATGGCCTGATAATACTCCTTTTGTCATCAACAGCAAAACAAATTATACAGAAGAAATGTTTACTGGAGTTGCCTGTGATGATGTTTACTGCTATAATGGTACTTCCAGCTGAAGTGGTAAATGTAATACAAACTAATTTCAATAAAGAAAAGATGAACCTCTCCAGGAGCTATCATGAGAGCACAGGTTCAAGAGCCATCAAAATTCCATAGAAAGCTCCCTCTCCTTTCCTCTGGGAACTTCAGTATGTGAAAAGAAATACATTCAGAGAGCAACTGTGAAATTAATACCTGTTAAGCCTGGCACACCAACTTCCCCTTTAAGGCCTGGCATTCCTGGTAAGTTTATAGTATCTCCCCGATCACCTATTTCAAACAAAAATGGAACACATGAGTGGTAAGGTTTTGATTTAAACATCACTTCCTGTTGTTTCGAGGGAACTGCAACTTCAGAGGTAAAATTCGGCAATAATTATCTTTATAGAATAAAAGAGAGGTCAATTAGTGTCTAGAACAGCCTCTCTCCTTGCCACTGATGGATTTATCCATGGACAGCACATGTTGCATGAAATGAACAGTTACCCTTTTCATGGCCTTCCACATCTACCATATCATTCTGTAAGACTGTAGAAAAACTCTTTCAGATTGAAGACACACTGAGACCCCTCAGAACTTACTGTTAAGTATTTGGTGGGTGATGAATACAGAGTGCTCAGATAAGAGAACAAACTCACCTATTTCTCCATGTGTGCCAGGAGTACCAAAATGGCCTGAAATCCCTGGAATGCCCTTTTCTCCCTATGATATGATTGAAAACAGGCACCAGTTAGTGAAGATGAGGATTTATCCAACTTTCCAAGCAGCTGACTTTGGAAATACTAAAATAAGACTATTAAATGTACCATTTTTGAGCTTCTGTAGTACTTTTTAGAGTAAGTTGTGAGCAGTCAGTTAATCTAAATCAGTACCAACCAAGGGACAAGTTATGTTTGCAAGGGTTTAAGTCTGAAATTGAGGACATCCTGTTATGCATATACAGCAGCGAGTCCTTGTGCTGGTTTTGGCTGGGGTAGAGTTATTTTATTTCACAGTAGCCAGTACAGAATTGTGTTTTGGATTTGTGCTGGAAACACAGGGATGTTTTCATTCCTACTGAACTGTGCTTACAGAGTCTCAGGTCATTTTTCACTTGTCACCCCAACCCTGCCAGTGAGCAGGCTGGGGGTGGGCAAGGATTTGGGAGGGGACACAGCTGGGACAGCTGATCCCAACTGACCCAACGGGTATCCCACACTCTATGGCCACACTCTTATATGCTCAGCATATAAGGCAGGGGGGACAACGGACTGGGGGGTAACAATGCTTGGGGATGGCTGGGCATCAGCCATTTGGTGGTGGGTAATTGTTTTCATTTGTATCACTTGTCTTTCTTGGGTTTTATATATTTATCGTTGTTTTACTATTAGTATTACTATTACTATTATTACTATTATTACTACTTTTATTATTATTTATTGCTATTGTAGTTTATTTAAATTATAAAACTGTTCTTATCCACAAGTTCTCTCATTTTCACCCTTCCAATTATCTTCTCCCCGTCCTGCTGGGGATGTGTGGAGGACCAGGCAGGGTAGGGCTTAGTTTCTGGCCGAGGTTAAACCATAACAGCTCTGAAGTTCTTGGTTAAAAAAAAAATCTTACTGAAACATAAAGGCAAAGAGAACCTGCGAAAGGAACATAGTTTTTGTCCCTCTTAAATAAATGATGTCCATGAGTCTACTGTCAGGCCAGGCCTTTTCTAAGTGCTTATTTCTTCCAGTGTAGCTTCTTTTGCAGCCAGAGTGAATTATAGTGAATTACCCTCTACAAGCTGAGATTCTTAGGCTCTTTTACTGTTAGATAAGTGACAGTGAGTAACTTTGAGCAATGATACCATTAAGTCCCCGGAAAAGAGAAAAGTCAGCCCAACACTGAGAATAATTTTTACCAGCAGCTGTGGCAACAGGATCAAAGAGCTAGAAGGAACCATCTGGGTCATCACTGGCAAAATGCTGGCATATGAAATTTGGATGTCTCACAATGAGAAAAGAAATTAATGAATGTTGCTTAATGAATGTTGGAGGGAGCAGGCAAAAGTATTTGATCTATTCATTCAATGTCGATGACATTTTTATCTTTGCACTGTCATTGTTCAGCAAAATTTCAAGGGGTGAATGCCACTTCCTGAGAAGCTGAATGCCAGCACAAGGACACCCTTATTGCCTCGTGTGCATGAACTCACTCTGACTCCTGTGGTGCCAGGGAAGCCTCTGATGCCAGGAGAACCAGCGGGACCAGGATACCCTTTCACACCTGTCAGCCCTTTCGCGCCAATGTCTCCTTTCACACCAGCCACGTAGCTGGGATACCCAGGGGATCCTGGGGTTCCTGTCTTTCCAGGAAGGCCTGGCATCCCCTTGCTACCTGCAGGCAGGGAAGAAGAAAAATAAGTAAGTGAAGACTGATGTCAGTTGCTTGTGTGTAAGAAGTTTTCCTGCTACTGGCCTTCTCGAAACATGGCACCACAATGTGCTGTACAAGGCACACACACACACACTCACACACACACATCATCCCTCAAAGCTTTCCTTTGGCATGGCTCTGTGAAATGCAGCCAGGAGCTCAGTTTCTGCTGTCAGAGAACTTGTTTGGGGGGCTGCAGCCAAGTGGTACAATGAACAGAGAATATTTAATATGGTAGCTGAGAAAAAGCTGGGAAAAAGAATGATAGCTCTGAATGTGCTTGCCTTGTTTTACTACAACCACTGACCTTTCAAGCCAAATAATCCCTTCGTGCCCCTTTCTCCAGCATCTCCTTTTTCACCTTTAACTTCCATCATCATGCTGGGCATGAGCTTTGGAGGCTCTCCTGGGGGGCCTTGATCCCCACGGTCACCTGAAAGGTAGAAAACCCAACCATGTAACAAAATGCTAGTCAGCAGCACTGTTGGAAAAAGTGAACAGAAGAGTGAATTAGGAAAAAGGAATGACCTTGCACAAGCTACAGAAAATCCACTAACCTGTGTCAATACAACATGGCAGTGGAAGAGTCACACTTAAGAACACATGAAAACTGAGTTAAACTTTTGTACATACAATCTTGGGAGTTGGACCCAGACTCCTGATAGATAATTTATCTCTCAGCAGACCAGTTAGGAATCATGTGTTTATAAAAAAAGCCCCAAAAAGGACATTGGAGAAAGCAAAGTAAAGTAGTTTAGTTCTAGTGAAAAGGAAATTCTCAGTCAAAAAGCCTTGGGCAAAAGAAAGTGTTTGGATTTGTTACCAGTTATAGTGTTCATTTTCTTGATTTTATTGTTACTGGTGATATCAGAAGGTAATGTCCTGAAGAAGGGACCCACATAGACTCTGTGAGTGTCTTTAGTTCTTCATGGGGAACAGAGACAGGCCAGTAACCCAGACTTGTCTCCTGTGATTATACACTGTCTTATATTTCTTTGCCAAGAAGCATATTTGCACTTCTCTTCACAGGGGCTGCTTTCACACTTGTCTTTTGCTGAGACTGTTGCTGGGATCACTGTTCTGCAACCTCTGAATAGCAGACACTTTAAAAAAAAAACCCCAATCTCAGGGTCCCTAGAAAGACCACTGTAGTCTTGCAGCAAAGCATTTATTTATTTATTTATTTATTTAAAAGATTATTGTGTGCAATCAAAAGAGGACTGAGTTACAGTTTTCATGTTGCCAACAATATTACCAGCTGAATGTTTGTGACTTTTAACTACTTAATTTTAACCATTTAATTGTTTGGTTTCCTTAATATTTAACTGTCTTTACAATGCAACTGGAGAAAAATCCAAGTATTCTCCCCCAAACATCTTAAGCTTCCTGGGAAAATGCTCTCTTGACTTCTGCACATGTCCAGAGGTAACACTGTCTAAGTTCAGATGAGTAATAAGATTTTTGTCTCCAGCCTTAAGTGTGTAAAGACGTAACCTTTCACTGAGTCCAAAATCCAGACCTGTTAGCCAGAGGCCCATGTGTCAAATAGGTGGAGGAATGTCTGAGCTAAATTTACCATGTGAAAAATGTGCCTTCGTAGTCTTTATGTCCTTGTAAAATAGTTCTGCAGATGTGAAGAGCAAACACATTAGTACCACCCACAAGCAAATACCTTTGAAGCCACGTGCACCCTGTGAGCCTTTATCTCCCCGAGCCCCAAGTGGGCCAAATTCTCCTTTGATTCCTTTGATGCCTGGTCTTCCTTTTAGGCCTGTCATGCCTTTGAAACCATCAATGCCAGGTGAACCTTTCAAGCCTTTAAGAAAAAAGGGGAAGACAACTGTTACTTCACTCAGATTTCTGCAAACTAGGTACATATGAACTAGCAACACATGACTAAAATGGTATGAAAACTTCAGTGCAGCAGTACCTATTTTTTGGGTGCCTTGACGCCTACAGCAATCTGTGTGACTGGAGCAGGCACTCCAGCTATCTGAGAGGTAGTAGAGCTCCTGAGGTACAGGAGAACATGAACCTGCCTCAACTGGTCAAGAAGAGATGTTGTAGAGATGACCAGAACTTACTGTATTCTCCTGAGAGATCAGTACAACCCCTCTCTTAGAGATGAGCTTGAGATATTACCAAGTTCCACATAAGGTTTGTAGTCAGCCTGGTGTACATGTAGAGATACAAATCATGGGTCTAGGACTGGCTGGTCCTCTCTCACCAGAGATTTCCCTACTTCTCTTCTCTAAACAAGGGAATGCTGTTTCACACGGGTAATGCTAACAAACAGATCTTAATTTCTCTTAAAGGAGAGCTGATCAGTACTCCAGAGCTAGTCTTGTCCTGTCTTTCCAACTGATGAAATTGCAACATGCATTTTTAAGCATGCTTTGTGCTCAGCTTGGCTTCACGTGGAGTTGAACCCTGCTGAAACTCCCTGTGTGCTGTAGGCAATGTGCATTACACCTTTGTGTTTTCTCATGGCTGGCAGGTGAGAATCTCACCATCTCAGCATAAAGTCACCATCGAAGTCTTGTGCCTGGCATTGCTCAGTTCACAGCTCCCAGCTTTAAAATCCTTAAAGTAAATGTTTGGGGAAACATCTCTTAAATTTCACTGAGGACCAATGGGACTAGGACGAGAGCAAGACTTTTAGAGAGAAAACAGTAAATACTGTATGTTTTTAAAAATGAGAAATAAAACAGCCATTGCTCTTCTAAATAGGGCTGCATATCACAAGCTAGCACTGTGCCAAGCCCAACACAGGGGAATACAGGCAGTGATTTTGGAATATATTAGGCACATGATCCTAATTCTGCTGTTTTAAATTGAGGGAGATCAGCAGAGAATATGTCTGGTTCATGTCTGCACAGAACAGCTTTAATCAACCACGGTTTTCAAAGCAGCAGCCCAGAGCTCACCTTTATCTCCTGGAAAGCCATCCATTCCACTTATGCCAGGGGGACCAGTCACACCACGTATACCTGGTAATCCTGTGAGACCCATGTCACCTTTGTCACCAGACAGACCTTTCAGGCCCACGGGGCCAGGAAAACCTTGCTCACCATCTTCTCCCCTAGCACCAGGTGGACCTGTCATGTAAATGTGAGAACAGGGAGAGTGAAAGAGGTTTGGACATAGATGATGATTTCATATAAGGTAGCTCAAGAAGGAGAAAACTGCTACCAACTTCATATTGAAGGGGGAAAATTAGGATTTTTTTCATCAAAGAATTGCAAAAATTATTGTAAAGATAAAGTAGCTTATCAACATGAACCAGCCTTGCTATCAGTTTGGTTCCACACCCACTTGCAACAGGACCTTCCCCTTGTCTTTAATTTAAGAATTAAGCCCCTTTTCCATAAGCCTACCCTCATTTGGTGTCTCCCTTTTCCCAGCTGCCAGCAGCCAGCTCTGACATAACTTGGTAGGTGGATATAAAAAGAAAAGCAGCAGCTCTGCCTGTAAAGATCATCCCCAAACTTAACTGTCTGCTGTGGAAACCATACACATGCCCTACCACAGAGGACTAGCAAGAGGAATGATACAGGATTACTTTCTCACCAAGAGGTCCTTGGGAGCCAGGCCCACCATCTGGCCCACGGTTTCCTGGTGGACCAGGGAATCCTTGTGTTCCTGGTATTCCTGGTAATCCCATCAAACCAGGGAGACCTTGTGGCCCTGGATCTCCTTTGGCTCCTGGCAAACCTGGGCTACCATCGGCTCCTAAAAGACCAAAATCATGCATTAGAGAGCGTCATGCACAGACAACATATTTTTATATATTTCTTCTGTGTACACCCTAGGCTTCCAAGGTATGTTTTTCCTTTGAAAATTCAGTGAGAACTGGAAAAGCAAATTAAAGGGCTGGTCTTTAGATTTAAAATAATTGACTTACCAGCAGTGATTTCAATATTTGCATCAGATAGGTTGATTGACTCTTTCAAATGAATGGGAATGATTTGGCACCATGTGGATATACATGCAGGTCTCTTTCAATTTTAATCCCAATCTTTCTATTTTGATCCAAATAATTCTGTTATTCCTGATCTCTCTGTCACATATATCTTAGTAAGAACTGAATCAAGCAGCTGACTGAACCACTGAAATAATGCTATGTATCTTTTCTAAAATGTTATAGGCAGGAAAAGTAACATTTAAGACAGATGGTGAGATCTGTGTCATTGTTTAGAAATTTTCGTAGGTTGTTACAAGACATTGCTGTAAGACTGATACAAATTCCTAAGCAAAAAGGCCCTAATTTTACATGACTTAATGCACTGGGTGAAAAATTATGTCTCTGCCATATACAAGCAAAATGGGTGTTAAGTTTTACAACATAATGCCTGCTTTTCATTCAGCTTGGAGAAGCAGCAGCCTACAAATAGTACGTGGCATTTAAAATCCAGGTCAAGTGGATCTCCTTCTCTTTATTCAGGTTTTACATCAGTGTAGGTCTATTGGCTTGACTGCAGTCAAGTAAGCTTTATAATTGTGGTCACTAAATATGGGTTTTCTAAAAAACAGCATTCAGGCTTTAGTTTGGTATTCTGAGTGAAGTGGCAAAGGTGATATAAAGGAATCCCTAGTCATTTCATGTAAAATTAAAAATATTCACAGTTGTAGAAAAATTCACATGCTATCTGGAGCCATTCTGTCATAACTGTAATTAAATCAAGAACAGACAAACTAGTAATGCTTTTTATTTTCACTGTATTTTTTACTACTGAAAACTTAGTTCTACAAAAATGCTTAAAAAGAGGGTGCAAATCACACTATATTTTTTGTTTTTAAACAAAATTGGATTTCGCCCCCTTTTCAGAGATGTTAGTGATGTTTTCTGCCTTTTCTCAAACTTGTTAAGGGCCACAGAGCTGCTTTCATCCCTTTCCTTCACTCTGGGGCTCTACTGCAGGTGAAACCAGCTCTTCTCACTTCAAATAACTCTGAGAAGATGATGCTCTTCTTTATTTACATCAAAAATCATAAGAAGGATATCCAAAACTAGTTCCTGTGACAAACCTTGCTTTAAGCTAGCCACACAATTACTACTCCTTTCTCAGTTCCACATAGGGGAAGGGGTAATCGACAGTCCTAAATTTAATTATTTGTCCCAATGCAACTGAAATGGTGTAGCAGGGTATCCTAAATTCCCACATGTGCTTTTGAAAGTTCTTCACGGAGTTCAGAGAGTGAAAAAATCAGATTTTGTAGAGAAACTCTGAGTTCTGCAGGGATTTTAGGGTGTATTTTATGGTCTTTGAAATAACAAACTAAAATTAGCACCCTGAAGCTATGAATAAGTATATAATATTATCTTTTTCTAATTTTTGAGATCCCAAGGACTGACAAGTTAAAATAGCTTATTAGCCGTTAACCTACGTCCTCTTAGTTAAATTTTACAAATTCAGCACTTCTGCAATGTGCTCATCAGCAAAGCCATGCAATACCCAGACATCTTTTGGTGTGGGAAAAAGTCTTAGTATTATTGCTGTATGTAAGTGAAAAGTCAGGATAATAGCAACACCTCCATTCCCTTAACTACAGTGAAAAAAAATTAGCAGTACATCTGAAAGCGACAAAGATGAGCAAAGTTTGGTTCTCTGGTGTCCTAGTGTAGTTGATTTCATGTAGAGCAGTGTGAAGGACAGCTCAACATAAGCAATGGATCTCCAGAAGGTGTTCAGAGGAGCCAGGCATGTTGGCAACAGCTGACACAGAAGTGGAAAGAATGGGAGATCATCAGGCACTGGGAATTGACAGTGAGGACACCAGTACCTCTGACACATCCCACCATGGTCTCTTACTACTCTCACATCCCTGCAGGTTGGCTGCATTTGTCTCACACTTACACAAACCTTTCTTTATTTGAAGAAGCTGTTACCTCTAGCTCCTGGTACTCCTTGATCTCCTGGGGCACCTTTCAGCCCTGGGAAGCCAGGCAGGCCGGCATCCCCCCGGGAACCTGCTGCTGCTCCTAAAACGTCACCAGGAAGGCCCTTCGGTCCTGGTGCTCCCGGAGCTCCCGATTTTCCTGTAAGGCCTGGGTGTCCCTGCAGTCCAGGTAGACCATTTGGGCCTCTGTCTCCCCTGGGTCCAGTAAAACCTATAAATAAAACAGAGACTAGGCATCACAGAGTTCTCTACAAATGTTGGAATTCAAATCCTAGATATACCATCATGATGTCCCCATTAGCACAAATGACAAGGTAAAGGCTTCTTGTGAACTGGAAAACTGGAGCTGGACTGAAGGTTAAGCCCAAGCATTGGTGAAAGATAGCATGGAAAACTGCAGAGAATTGTTCCCTGTTGCCTGGAAGCCGTATGGGAGCCCTAATTTAGCAATTAGAACACTCTGTACAGCTTACTGGGGGAGACAGAGCTTCATGGTCCTGCCCTGTGCTGCACAAGCCATGTTTTATCATCACCAGCAATGATGATAACATCAGAGCCTGTTTTATGATGCACCCCTTGTCTGCTGACCAGGACATGCATCAGCCCTTCTTTTGCTTTCTCTGTTGCTACTACAGATGCTGTAGACTTGTCTAGAGAACACTGTGCTGCCTGAGGGCAAAGCACCACCTGGCACCGGATTTGGGAAAGTCTGCAGCACTTCAGAATCTTTGAAATCAGATAACTCAAAAAAATTTCCAGAGAGCTCATAAATTAAGTTGCATCAAATGCTTCTGGAATGGGGTACAGAAAAAAAACCCAAACAACTCATCACTCATTTCTCTGACCAAATAAACTTGGTCAACCACAGGGAAGTGGTATTTTCTGGAGATAATTCCTGTAATTCTTGCTGGACTGACTGATGATTTGTGAACATCCACACCCTCTGCAGCTAACACGTGCATGCCACTGCATGGTCACATGTGCAGTGCTACACACAGGGACTCATTTATACTAATGTTGAAAAGAATTAAATGAAAGTACTATTACTATTATTTTCTTCCTTACTGTATCATCATTATGAGTATAATGATGGAAAAAATGTGAGTAAACTTGGAATCTAAAATACCTTTTTATTGAATTTCTTTATGAGAATTTCATTAATTTTTACCATCACATTTATAATTTTGAACAATAAAGATGATTTTAAAAGGTTAGCATCTATGAAATTTTTCATCATTATGGAAGTTGCAAGAAATACTTCTGGATTTGAAAAGCAGTATTTTTGTCTAATGGCTTATTGATTCAATGTAGAAGGGAAGATAAGTGAAAATGTACCAAGAATCAGGTATTTGTGTTTAAGTGACTGCAGTAAAAAGGTCAAAAATATATAAAGAATGACTAATTATTTCAAGATACCTGGAGGACCTGGAAATCCTTCCCGACCTGGATCACCTCGTGTACCATTTAGCCCTGGGAAACCCATTGGACCTGGATCACCTGGGAATCCTCTTGCACCTTTTGCACCTAAATGATATAAAATAAAGTATCAAAGTGTGATCTGAACAAACAAAACAGAAAGGTGCATATAGTGAAAAAAAGGTAGTAGTAAATATCAGATGAAACCTTAAAAAAATTAATGGGGCTATACCATAGCTCTTTAGAAGTATTCAAGATCCCAAAACATGGACCAAAAATCTAGGTTAAGTGCTTTTACAAACATGGATTAACCTGACTTAAAGACTAATGATATGGAGACTACTAGGGTAAAGATAATTAGTTTCACAGACTTTTGGAGCTTTCCAATATTTTGTAAATTAAGGCTTTTAGATTAAGGTCAAAAGGCAATGTCAAAAAAGAATGTTCACAGAAATGGGCACAGATGAGATGCTGTAGGAGGAAAAAAAAAATTCCTTTCCCTGATAAACTGATCACAGAACAAGAGCAGACTGGTTTAGATAACTAAGAAGCAGAAATGTAAGGCTAAAGGTTAGATCTAATAATTCCTCAAAATGAATACAAATTAACTAGCCTACTTACTATATTTGTAACATTACACGTTTAGAGATTCCCTAGTAAAAGAAAGGATGTGCCCTGAAAACAAAGGATGTGCCAGTTCTTCTGGCACTGACCTCTTGTTCACAGTGATTTTTCTCCTGACAGCTAAAATGATACCTCGCTTCCCTGTGATACAGTATTTGACATTTCAGTAAGGGCAAATACTACTTTCTTTTAACATCTCAAAACCTGCAAGCATTTTGTAGGATTCCTTTGTTATGTTTCAAAAATTGTATATTTTTTCCATGCAATAGTTTTATTACATGAGTCTCATTAATTCACTGTATTGCAGGATCAAGGTTTTTTGGTAAAGTTCTTTGAAAATAATTCCCGTTGAATGCATTGTTCCCCTACCCTCCCCAGCACTTTGAACTTCCTAAGTCCCCAGCTCAGACTTGAAGGTCAACAACGTACTTCAACATTTAAAATGTAGTTGCTTAGCATCACCATGACTTACAGCTCATTTATTCATTACTGAAAGCAAGTTTCTCTTCACCCCTAACTACGACAAACCAAGGAAAATATCACTTAGATTTTGATGCTTTTTTCCACTTCAGTTTTTTGAAATTTAGAGTATGACAGTGAGAAGGATCTGTCACAGTCCTCCATGGAAGGCTTTTATCACCCTGCTCTCAGAGGACAGGATTTGCCTTGTGAGGTGTGCAGTCAGCTCTGAGAGACCTCAGTACACTCTCTAGCACTAAACCTGTAGACTCCAAATACTCTTACTTGCATGTGGAGAATAGCAAAGGGGATGTTCTTTCTGCCTTCTGCTTTGTGGCTGACACTCATTAGCAAAGGCAGTCTGAGCTCAGGAATGGTGAAGTCATTTGGGCTGCACACTGCTTAGATCTCTCTGGCAGGGTCAGGTTAAGGCTGTGTTCCAATGTAATTTCTAAAACTTGCTGTCTGCTAAGGCTCAGTTATAATCAATATGACAAGACACCCTTCAAGTGTAGTGTATGTGAGAAACAAAATATGGTAAAGGCAAAACATTACCTGTGGCTCCTGGCACTCCTGGCCTTCCTTGGGATCCCTTTGGTGGCCTTACACAGCCTGCACCTGCAAAAAAAACCCCAAGTTAGTCTCACTATATGTGCTCCTATGATGCCTCTCCATGTCTCTGGTCCTGTAGTTGAGACAATTTCATTAAAACAGGTGAAGGAAATTAACAAGGAAACTCCTAATTTGAAAATAATTTTTATTCTTCATTAAAAAACCACTGGCTTATGGGTGGCATTTTCAGGGGAGCACTCAAGCTGATCTCCACCCCATGAGCTGCTCTTCTGCCTGTTTACAGGGGCTATGGTGGCAGGTCCAGTTGGACCAGCATGGGAAGGGTAGTCCAGCCTCATGGATGACTGTATTTTTCAGAATAAGAGAAACACTTTGCTTCTCTATGGGTGATTTATACCTGTGAAGCAATCAAGTCAATTTTTGCAAAAATTGAAGGGTTTTTTCTTATATGTCACATTGCACTGAAAATCTTCACTCAGAATTCTTCTTTTAAAAAAGCTGCTAAAATTTTCTTGGGCACCTAATTTCTCGTACTTTTTTTATAGATTGCACAGTAATCATACAATAAACACTCCGGAGTGATGAAATAAAGAATCTCTGAATTTTAGAGCTAAAAGTGCAATAATTTTAGAAAATGTTCAATTTGATTAATTTAGTTTAGAGCTATGTAGAATATATGCACAGTTATTTGTGACCTAAAGTTCAAATAATTTATAACCAAGAGCATCCAAAGCAGTAATCAGGAAAAAAGTATTGACCCACAAAAGCAGCATAATACTAAAAAGATATTCAAGCCATTTGCACGTCCAGTACCTGACCATATTGGTTCGGTTGCATCTCCTCTAGGAAAGTCTTCAGTGACCTGCCCACAGTCTGTGAGCAAAGAATTGGAAAACACAGTTATTTAAAAGAGAAAAATTGAAAAAAGACAAAAATGTTCTCAATTCTAACCAAAATGCCTGTAAGACCAGCAGATAATGTATTCTCTGATATATTATGCACTCATACCATACAAATTATTTGCTGTAACATACTGAACACTCTATCCACATATTGATTGATCCAGGCTTAAAACCTATCCTGTCCAGCTTAGGAGGCTGTCCCACGCACTGGGTAAGGTTGACATGTGCTTGCTTTAGCTTGAATATTCTGCCAGGCTTCTCAAAGTGGAGGAATAAAACTCTGAGCCTGAGCTCTTCTGAATGTAGCCCTGGCATTGCTATGCTTGGAAGGGACTTGAAAAGCTGCAGAAATACTATGAGGAGCTCTGGAGGATGGAAACATGATTTTCTCTGGTCAATTAAAAGATTGTGTTGGGTGGGAAAAATCAGAGAAAACCACCTGTGGGATTTCCAATGGCAGGACATTGCTCCATTGCCTCTAACTGCTTTAAACCAGAAAAATGTTACTTGCTGGCACTAACACATTAATTTATGCTATTTCAATACCTGACATGAAACTACTGGGACTTCTGAAGTATCTCTTTTAAGATTTCTGGACAATACAAACATTTCCTTTTACTTCACATAACCCCCACCAAGTTCTCCCTTTTCAACAGTGTGCTGGACAAATGCTGTACACGACTCAGTGCTGATCTCCCATGGCTCTGATGTAACACAGAATGGTGTCTCTTACCTAGTTGGCCAGGCTCCCCTGGCAGACCAGGCAGACCTGGAGCTCCTGGGTTTCCAGATTGTCCTTGGTCACCTGGAGGACCCCGGAACCCTTTTGGACCTGGAAATCCTTCACCTGGCAGGCCTGCTTCTCCTGGAAAGCCCTTTGGACCTAATTCACCTGGATAACCAGGATCACCAGGGAAACCTCTGATAGCATCACCCTGTGGGAAGTGAATGGAGGTGGTCACTTCTGACTTTGCTCAGACACAAATGCAACTCCAACAGTTGAACTACTCTCATGAATAACATCTTATAGGCAGTCATTTCTCAAGTGTTGCATCCCAGCTCTTTAAATCAACATTGAAAATAAAGTATTTTTGAAATAATTTGACTTCAACGTAGACCACATGGTAGTAAGGGCATGAGAGAAATGCTCCTTGACAGAACATTCCCCTAAAAATGCTGGCCCATGAAAAAGCACTTGGGCAATATGAATCAGCATTGTGGAGAGGCTCCTGGTCCTTCCTGAAAAGCTGTAAGTGGTTTTGGGGACACCAAATGCATTGTTAGAGATGTTCTGTTGTGGCATTTACATCTGAGAAAAGCTGACATAAAAATGCACCCAAAAGATTATTTTCTCTGTCTTCACTTCTAGTGATATTTCTACACTACTGAATCAACATTTTACAAACATCATTAGAGAATGCCCTTCTATCTTTAGAAGCAACATAAAGTACCATCTGCACTGGTAGGAAAAGTACTGTGGTCTAGAGTGCCTAGTATAGCTCTTGCCCATTTTCAAATATAATATATGAGCATCCCAGTGGTTCAAAACATAATTTATGTTGGGCCACAGGAATTCTTCTTGCAAGGTATTTAATTTTGGCCATAGAAGGAAGTTAGAAAAAGAACAAAGACTACATGTCCAATTTCTAAATAGCTACAGTTAGGTGAGTTGCAGTCAAGCAATATGAGGACATAACGTACATTTTGAGGACATAAAATTGCAGAAAATTTTGCTTTTCTTCAACACAGTTGTACCAAAGCTATTGAAGTTTAGTCACAAAGAATCTCAGACTATGCTAGAAGGAGTCACTAATAAACCATACACTACCACTTGTTTAAGCAAAATGGAAATAAAAAAATAATAAATAGAAAATAAAAATAATGAAAAAAATAATAAATAAGAAATAAAAACCCTGAGAGTTAACCTGATGCTTAATTTTTCAATAACCAGCAAACCCAGTCTAGTTTTGCATCATTATCTGTGCAAGAAGGACAGGCTGGTGATCATAACCCTTCAGAAATAAGAGCATTAGTGACTGGGTGTGGTGTATTTGCTGCTTACCGGAAGGCCAGGCTGTCCTGGCAAACCATCTAATCCATCTCTGCCTGGGAAACCATCTTCACCACTGATTCCAGGCAGCCCAGGATCTCCTCGGATTCCTTTGGTGCCTAAAGAAGACCTTCCATTGTGAGACCAATCTTTCACTAATACTATAAATAACAGGAAAACACAGGTGATAAGAATTTTCACTCTACCTTTCGTAGTTATGTGTAAAGAGTCTCCTTTTTCGCCTTTCCGTCCAGGAAATCCAGCTGGACCCGAAAATCCCTGGTGTTACACACATTGAAAAAAGCCCAAAACAAACCAGAATTTCTTAGAAATAAGTATCAAGATTTGCATTTCTACTGCCCTGCTTAAAAAAAAAAAGCCTCCTTAAATTTTACTGTTTTCCTGTTACTTTCTGTGAGTGATTTTCTCTTCAGTAATCCCATTCTTGTGCAGAACCTTTATTAATATGTTCTAACTAGGGACCAAGGTTTCTATGGCATGGTAGAGGAGAATCTGCATGAGGATGGATCGGGACACGTGGCTTTCCATGAGTCCTGCAGGTCACTGCTGCTGCAGAACTGCACTGGAGAAAACATGGTGAATTACTCAATGTTAGCCACTAAAGAAAATGCCCTAAGCAACTCCTTGCTGCCTTGGAAAAAACCTTAGGGTTCTACTGACGTGCAGTTCCTCCCGTGCACTGCTCCCAAGGAGAACAACCTTGCAGCTGGCAGTGACTGTGATTCACAGCACTGTCCTGGGGCTGAAAAGTAGCACCACCTTCATTTATTTATCAGACAAGGACTTGGGCACAGAGGGATTAAGTGATCAAATCACTTAATCAAATCACAGACCTGCGGGTAGGTTTTGGTTAGAAGGGAGGGCTGGAGGTCTCTGGCCCAGCCCAGCATTTGGGGTGGGTTGCTCAGGACCTTGCCTAGCCATGCACTGAAAATCCCCAAGGAGGGAAACCTTCTCTCAGGCAAAGATAAACTGTGGTGAAGCTAAAAACCAGGCTCTGGCATTCTTGATTCCTTGGCATAATGCTGGAACCTTCTCCTGAACAGCCCATCTGAAAGAGGAATTTCTAGCTGCTGGCCAAGAGCATTGCAATCACAGAACCAAATCTAAATCCATGGTAGGTGCCAAGGCCCAGAGGTTACAGAGTCATTTACTAGTTACTGTTTCATGTTAGCTTTAGATCTGAATAATTACACTCATGCTCACTAAAATATAAATTGTGCATGTTAGGTTTTCCTCAGCTACCTCTGACTGAATTCCAGGGCAGACACTGAATGAAAGGAATGTACCTGATAAATTTATTTTTTGTTCGAAATAACTCTATATTTTGCTGAAATACTGCTGTGCCAAACATTATTTTAAAGTTTGTCTTCGGCACCACTGTATTTTATTGACACTTTGGGTGAAAAGCATGTGTAAAAACTGTATCTCAGCTGCAGGTCACCACAACAATACATGTTTGCACTTCTGTTAGTCAAGACTGAGATTAGTTTTGATTATAAGCATTCTGCTTTACCTGGGACATATTTGAAAACTGCATTTTAATGGTGAGTGAAGCCAATCTGTACTCCATGGTAAAGTTGTTACTTTTGGAAATTGATTTTTTTCAGGGCAAAATAAGTCTCAGGAACTTAAAATAATGATGAATTACTGCATTAACACTGCACTAACAGCATGATCTTCACATTGCTATTTTTTTGTTCTCAAGATTTAGTTGTTATGTATAATACAATTTGGCACAGAGGTATTTTAAAAATATTTTACAGCCGATTCTAATTTCTCTTCCTCCACAGGAAAAAAATCCTTTGGGATGAAACTTTATTTTCATCAAACTGACACAGATCTCATTAAGATTAATTGCATTTATCATCCACATATGTAGCTTGTAGAACATGCTTAAAGAACTATGGAGTGATTTTTGCCCCAGAATATGGACCAACAATATGTAAGCTAAATTATTTTATTTTTTTAATTTGCTGTGCTGTGCCTGTACATGTTTATACTTATCTCTATTCTACAGTAAGTTAAATTCTGGGAGGAAAACCCTCAAAAGCAAAAAGCCTTGTAGAACTTAAAAAGTTTTAACCAAAGTATCAAGATTAAATTTTTGGAAATGTTTCTATCAATTTTTTCATGACTTCTAGGAAGTATAGCTTTTCATAAAAGTATTTTGAATTTTCACCAAAAAAAATCTACCTTTAATAAAGTCAATTTTTAATTCTAAAAAAATCCCAAACTTTAGATAGTTGAGAGTGAGCTTGGGTTTTTTTTGATGTTCAGAAGAGCCTAAAGTACTAAATGAAAACATGTTTGCTCTGACATCTCTGCACTTTACAATGGTATGTAGTGATAGGAAAAGAGGAATGGTTTTAAACTGAAAGAGAGTAGGTTTAGATTAGATATTAGGAAGAAATTCTTTACTGTAAGGGTGGTGAGGCACTGGAGCAGGTACATAGACTCAGAAGAGTTGTGGATGCCCCATCCCTGGAAGTGTTCAAGGCCAGGCTGGATGGGTTCTGAGCAACCTGGTGTAGTGCAAGGTGTTCCATTCCATGGCAGGGGTTTGGAACTGGGTGATCTTTAAGGTCCCTTCCAATCCAAAGCATTCTACATTTCTTTGAAAAACAGAATCAGCTTTTGGGTCAGCATTACAAATAACTTATCCTAAAATCTTGAGAGATGTGACTGACTAAAGCCAGTTCTGCCTGCGAGGAACCATGATGCAGTTAGCACACCACACAGTACAGCACCTTTATGTATCATTAACAAAAAAGCTGTTATAAGCAAAGCCCTTTCCTCAAGGGTATTGAATAGTGTTTTTTAGAAAGACTATATTGTAAACAAGAACCTTACATTTTATCAGTTTAACATATGCATCCTATGAGCAACAGCCTTAGGTTACTACTGGAGCTGTTTCCCTAGATGGTTGGATCATGCTCAGTACTACAGCAGCTTTAAAGGGTTCTGCTTTCTTCAGATAGAAGGTGGACTTTGGTTTATGGGGAAATCTTTCACTCTCCCCCAAATTTTCTATTTTCACTTCCATCCTATCAAGTTTTGGCCTTCAGTATTTTATAGATAACCTCTTGAGAGCTAATGAAGTGGGAAAGAAA